AACTGACCTTTGATGCATGAATGTTCTTTTAAATGTGGTTTTATGTTGCAGCCAAATTGATGTAAGATTTTAAGGATTCTGCCCATTTCCCCTTCTCCCCATTCTGCTCTCCCAGCATTGTATGCTTAAGAGTTTGCTTGGTTTTGTTTGGTTCTCATCTAAGATTATCATAAAACAGATGGCCCAAGATGCTGGGCTGACAGATGAAATAGCAATTCCATTGCACTAGGTTTTGAGATGAGCAAGCCAAGACATTTTTACTTCCCCTTACTGTGCTTGAAAATTATTGTAAGGTCAGGATGTGCTGGTTATGTCCTATTGTAAAAGCTGGCCATGGAGCTCTGACCTTATGGTTCTGCCTTCCACACCTTTTTATGAGGAAGATGCACAAGGAGAGGGCTTTAGAGCAGCCACACTGCCAGATCATATCTTCTTCCAGTTTAGCTCTTGCACAGGACATCCAAATCACTGTTGTTGAGTTTGAAGTGTCTCTTCACAAAACTAGTTGTCCAACAAAGATAATTCTTATGCTGAGTGCTAGTGTGCCTCATACAAGTTGGGTCAGGGTAGGCCATGGCAATGGCTGAAAATTAATGACATTAATATTGAAGCAGGGCAAAAGCAGTTCCTGCAGAAGCTTCATAAATTAATTTCATTTAAAGGACTTCTAAGAAAGTGTTGTGTGGCAAGTGGGTGCAGGCCACATTAAGAATCATAACCACCTAACACCAGTATTATATTTTGGCCTCCTCTGCACTGCTTCTGGTTTCTTAGATGCATGAACATTTTTGGTTTCTTTTGGCTGAAGATAATAATATCTTAATTCAGTCTGGCAGGGTAGATGAGCTTTCCAAGGAATAAGAATCAAACAATGTTTTTGCTACATATTTTTGTATAATAATAATTTTTGTAAATTTTGTATAATATATTAATATATTTTCTTTGTCTCTCTGTTTAGTCATCTGCTACTCTTCAGACAAGCCACACTGAAGATGCAGAAATGAAAGATGCGCAGAATGGAGTTGAAGATAAATCAGAAGTTGAAGCAGAAGCATAAGAAAACCCCTATTCCATTAGTTTTGTAAATGAAAGAATTTCCAGTGAATTAGACCTTTATTTTTCTACCTGGTTGGATAGTGGCTTCAAGGGAGCAGAGGCTGAAGCCACCATGCCACAGTCAGTTACAGCTTTATGTGGCTGTTCAAGAAGCTGAGTGGCAGCATAAATCTGGCTTAATCCTAGTGACTTTATTTATTCATTCAGCCTCTGTTACTGTTTGGGTTCTGTCTGGATTTACTCTGCTTGGTTTATTTGCATTTTCATAGAATCATAGAATGGCTTGAGTTGGAAGGGACCTCAAAGATCTAGTACTAACTCCCCCTGCCATGGACAGGGACACCCTTCACTAACCAGGTTGCTCAGAGCTCCATCCAGCCTGGTCTTGGATACTTCCAGGGATGGAGCATCTACAGCTTCTCTGGGCAGCCTGTTCCAGTGCCTCACCACCCTCAGAGTAAAGAATTTCATCCTGATACCTAATCTTAACATGCCCTCTTTCAGTTTGAAGCCATTCCCCTTTGTGCTGTCACTACTTGCCCTTGTAAATAGTCTCTCTCCATGTTTCTTGTAGGCTCCCTTTAAGGTACTGGAACCCCACAGTTTGGTCACCCCAAAACCTTCTTTTTTCCAGGCTGAAAAATTCCAGTTCTCTCAGCCTTGTCTCATAAGGAGAGGTGCTTCTTCCCTCTGATCATCTTGGTGGGCCTCCTCTGGACTTGCTCCAAAAGGTCCATGTCCTTCCTATGCTGGGGACCCCAGGGGTGGATGCATTGTTCCAGCTGGGGTCTCACCAGAGTACAGGGTGAAAGTCCCCTCCCTCCCCTGCTGCCCACACTGCTTTGGATGCAGCCCAGGTTACAATTGGCTTCTGGGCTGTGAGTGCACATTGCCAGCTCATGTCCAGCCTCTCATCCAACAGCACCCCCAGATCTTCCTTGGCAGAGCTGCTCTGGATCTGTTCATCCCCCAGCCTTTATTGATACCAGGGGTTGCCCCAGCCCAGGTGCAACACCTTGCACTTGGCCTCCTTGGAGCCTCATGAGTTTCACATGGGCCCACTTCTCAGGCTTGTCCAGGTCGCTCTGGGTGGCATCCTGTCCTCCAGGTGTGTCAAGGGGACTGCTCAGCTGGGTGTCACCTGCACATTTGCTGAGGGTGCACTCTACTCCTTCATCCATGTCATTAGCGAAGGTGATAGTAACACTGGTCCCAGTATGGGCCCCTGAGGGACACCACTTGTCACTGGTGTCCATTGGGACGCTGAGCCCTTGACCACTAGCCTGTAGATTTGACCGTGCAAGCAGTTTCTTACCCATCAAACAGTCCCCCCACTGCATCCACCTCTGTCCAATTTAGAGAGAAGGAAAATTACAGAAATAAGGGTAAATGGCACCTGTAGCCCTTCCCTTGCCCACTCATGGAGTCACTACATCATTGAAGGCCACTAGGCTGCTCAGATGGTCCTTGCCCTTGGTGAAGCTGTGCTGGCTGTCCCTGGTCACCTCCCTGTCCTCCATGTGCCTTAGCATAGCATCCAGGAGGATCTGTTCCCTGATCTTCCCAGGCACAGAGCTGAGGCTGACAGGTCGGTAGTTCCCGATTTGTCATCGGTGTTTTTCTTTCTGGTTCCAGCTTACTTTAATCCCAGGTTCTGCTTTCTAAATTTATTTCCTTGATTTGCTTCAAGTAATCAGCTTTTTTCAGGAGTCCTCATGCGAGACTTAAGAACAAATTGGCGCTCCCAATTCTTCTGCCTTGGGATTGCCCTCTTTCCCCTTGTTCAGTAGGGAGTCCCTTCCATTAAGTTTTGTAGCCTTTCTTGTATGCCTCCTCTTTGCAAATTGCTGAAGGTGAAGACTGTGAAGTCACAGCTTAAGTAATAAAGCTCCAATTAAACTCAAGAAAACGGAACTTTTCGTGGGTTTTTATTGGAATTTGCACAGAATTGAGAGAATATACTGTCCTTTGGTCAGTGTTTTCTTGTCTGCATAGCCAGTGTCCTGATTATTTTTTTCTGTTGTTTGTGCATTACCATAAAATAGTCCCATGATATTTGATACAGTATTTACCCATATATTTGCAAAAGGGAAAAATTATGTTGCTGGAAACTCTGCATAAAGCAAGTCTGTAACCTGTGCATAAAGATTTTCTATGGTCATATTGCTACTTTCCTCTTCACCCCACCACATTGTAAAACTGGACCAGAGGGAAAAAAAAACAACAAACCAATACATCTAAAAGTGACTGGCTTTGAAGTGAAAGTAAGGGATAATGGCTTACATATTACAAATACTTCTAATGAACTACAAACTCCTGAGTGATTCTAATGTCTGCTTGCCCAGATCTCACAAGAAAGCTATTACTCAGTATTCTGCTTCTTTCTGCAGTTTGTGTGTCTTGTTTGGGGGTGGGTGTGCTTTTGAATTTTGTGGGGGCTTCTGGTTGGGGTGGGCTTTTTTTGTCTGAAGGCATGGAACATAGTACTCAAACTCAGCTGTTGTTTATCCTATCACGTGGTGTTAAATTCAGCATCTCCAGTGTCCTGTTTAGAGACAGGGGCAGAAGGGGCATTTTTTTTTTGCCTGCTCTGCAGAAGAAAGGTAGAAAATCTGTTTCTCTCAGATTAACATAAATGGACTTTTTAATGGTGAGAAAGATGTCTTTGCATGGCATGCCATGGGCTGGAATTTGTGTGTATATTGCAGAGAGTATCCCTGTTCTAACATGTAATAGAATGTGAATTCCTGGTCTCCTTTGCTGAAAGAGAAGTACTGTGTAAGCACTTGAACTCGTGGGGCCTGGGGGAGTGCCACTACCTGTCCTGCAGCAGTGCCAGCCCAGCTTGGGCCCTGGAACTGTCACCAAGCAAGGGCTGCTTGGAGTGCTGCCCTGCCCCAGACACCAAATACAGCACCTGCTGCTGGGTTGGAGCGTGGTTAGAGAGCTGGGAGCTGCAGTGCTCTGAATCTCATGGGGTGGGTGGGATAGGACAGAGGCAAGAGAGATGCTTGGGAGGTCACTTCCCTTAAGGAAATGCTGATTTCATTTGCCTGATAAAGCCTTGGGGTTGCCAGGTAATGGGGGTGATTTTCATGAGCTCTGACTGTAGTAACAGCCTCTTGTATGTATAAAAATTTATACCAAAGCAGTACCCCCTCTTGTGGGAAACAACACTGTGAATGTCAGCTGGGGTTAGAAGAAGGGATTTATAGAACTAGTAAAACAGTTCAAGGGGACAGGAATGCCAAGCCAGAGTACTTATTAATCACGTAAATACCTTGATTTGTTGCTAATTATTCCTGGAAATACAGGCCTCTGTGGCTTAAACTGGTTTTGCTGCTAAAGCATAGAGCCAAGTCCTAATGAGAACTTTGTAATTGTTGAACAGCAGTTTTCAAAAATCTACAGGCATGATAGTTGTACATGTTTCTGAAAGCAAAAAGTGATTTCTGTGGCACATCTATAAAAAATCTAGTCAATGGTGCATCTGTTGTTAAGTGTGAGCAGTCTTGAAAGTACCACTGTGCCCTTGTTGTTACTACATAAACTATGAAATGTTTGAGAATGTAAATCTGTTAAGGACACTAAACATGCCCTGTTCAGGCGGCTGAACGGATGTTCCGTGCTGTCTTAAAAGTGGGTCTGGTTGCCGGCAGAAGGTGGCAATACTGGTATTTGTGAGTGAGGTCATGCATGTAAACTTCAACTATAAACTTCGTTATGTATGTCCTTATAGAGGAAAAAAAAAAAGAAAACAATGCTTAAAATAAACAGTTGCAGTCCTGACTTTGTAACCCACACCCGTGTGTGTCTGCGTGTGTAAATCCTTTCCGGAGCGCGGTGCTGTGGGCGGCGGGCGGGCCCTGCGGCCGCCCCGCCCCGCGCTCCCGCCGTGCCCGGGCCCGCGCAGCCTCGGCTCGGCCCGGCCCGGCCCTGCCGCCATGCGCTCCGTCAGCTACGTGCAGTGCGTGGCGCTGGACTTCGCCGGCAGCCTCTTCCCGCACGCCATCTGCCTGGGGGACGCCGACAACGACACGGTCCGAGCCCGGAGACCGGGATGGGGCCGGCTGGGGGTGCCCGCGGGGCCGCCTCGGTGATGGGGACAGCCCAGGGCTGGGGGAAGCACCGAGCGGCCTGTGCGGCCCCGGGGCGGGTGCCGGGAGGAGCTCCCAGCCCCGGGGACACACACGGGCCTTGGCGGGCGCCCGGTCAGAGCCCGCAGGAGTGCCTCTGCAAAGGGGATGTTTGCAAAGGCTGCAGCGGGTCAGGGTTTCCCTCGCCATTTCCCGTGCCCTGGGTGGTGCACAGCCTGAGCGAGCTTCGCTTGTGCTTCATAGACACTCCCCTGTCACAGCGGTGGGGATGCGGTGTGCTCTGCTGGGCACAGCTGGTCACAAACAGGGCAGAGCCAAGTCTCGGTGTCTCTTGATCCGTGTGATGGAGGGATTGGGAATGTTGCTGCCGGCCCCTGAAATGATTGGTGTGCGTTTAGAGTGTGCATTGGGAGTGTTGCTGTCAGCTCCTGAAATGATTGGTGTGCATTTGGAGTGGGCATTGGGAGTGTTGGTGTACACCCGTGTGCATTGGGAGTGTTGCTGTCAGCCCCTGAAATGGTTGGTGTGCATTTGGAGTGGGCATTGGGATATTGCTGTCAGCCCCTGAAATGGTTTTGATTTGTCTGTAGCCAGGAAGAGGTTAGCTTAGCCAGCTACATGACTGCTGTTTCTCTTCAACAGTGAAGGTGTTTTACAGCCTTACCCTGGAAAGTGTCATGGTTAGCAATGCAGTGGATGATTAAAGAGATTTCCCCATAAAATGTTGTTCTGTAGGGTTCTGTAGGTGTGCAGGGGATTATGAAATGCACACCATTTAAATACAAAGAAGCATGATGCAGGAGATGAGATAATGGGAGTAGGCTCATCAGTATGGATGGTTGGTGATTTTAGAAATCTTCTTTAAAGAAATAATCACCATTCTGAATTTCCTTTACCCCTTGAGCAGTGAGATTGAACATCCTGTGTAAATCTGTTGTGTTCTTGCACTCCCTTCCTGGATGGTTGTGTTTTTGTCATTGCCATCATCTTCCTTAGGTGATTCAAGTCAATCTAGATTGAAGGATGGAAGATGGAGTAATGATGATTGTTTTAACATCCAAGCATGATGTTGAAACAGTCAGTGACACAGCTCTGAAACAATGAGTGGAGAACCAGTGGGTAATTGGATGTTGCTCTAAGGAGCCATTCTCCATCTCTTTTATCTGCAAGAATAAAATTAGGGCTTTTATATTTTCCCAGACTTTCCATTTTGATTCAAGATTGTCTCTAACTCATTTTGTTTTGCTGCTTCTTCCCACAGAGTGATTTTTAGATATGAATTCTGAAATTTTTATTGTTAATGTAAGTGTGGATTTCTCCCTACTAACCCAATTTTCTTGTACAGCTGAATGAACTCGTGGTGGGAGACACCAATGGAAAGCTCTATGTTTACAAGAATGACAACAGCAAGCCCTGGGCTGTGCGGTCTTGCCAAGGAATGGTCAGTTCTTGACAAATTTTCTAAATGGTTGGGCCTTTTGGTGTATGTGCAGCCAACTATAATTGTCCTTTGCCTAGGAATAAGTAGGCTGGGAGAGGAATGGTAGCCAGAACTGATTCTGATGTCTTCCATGTAATTATTCAAGACCCCACTTTTGCCTACAGCCCCTTGGGCTGGAAGTGATGGTCAAATTAATGGACAAACATATAAACTGGGCTTCTGTCCCACCTTTACCCTGCCCTGTGCACTCTGGCCAGTTGTGTTTCTTTCTGTCCCTTGACTCTGCTGTCCTTGTCCTTCAGAAGCCTGTTAGGAGTTCAGGAGATTCTTTATGGGAGAGGAGGGTAGGGCAGAGGGGTATCCCAGGGTGCTGGTTTGGGTTGCCTTTTCTCATGGATGGCCTTGTTTTCTTTTGCAGCTCACATGTGTCCGTGTGGGAGATGTGTGCAATAAAGGAAAGGTGAGAGGAGCCAAACTCTTCCCAGCTGTGTCTGTAGGGCATGTGGGAAGTGTTCAGGAGATTAGGGTCATGTCATGTGCTGAGTGTGACAGAGGAGGACAGATTGCACATGCTGTCTCTCCAGGGTCTGCCTTTGCTCACAGAGTTTTAGCACCACTGTTTTTAAACTGTTCCTCTGTTTATATGTTACTGGTATTTTTCTGTGAGCCTTGTGTGGGTTTTAGAGAGCAAGGAAATCCATCCTGTCTTCAGAGAGCACATTTGATTTCTGTTTGAGGATTGCTCCTTTTGCTCAGTGGCTTTTGCCTTTCTTGGGCTGTATGCTGTGGGCCGTGGTCCTTCTGCCGCTTGGCTGTGTGCATTTAAGGTCATCTAAACAAGACTGAGACATGGAAGAGTCTGGACTCCCAGGCAAATTCCACTGGGTCTACTATGACTCCTTTTGTTGGATTGCTGTTTCTGGGGGTTAAGCCAGGACCAGTGAGTCCAAAGGTCCCAGTTCAGGCACCCTGCCCGAAATACTGTAGCTGTGTTTCCTCTAGTGGGGAGCAGAGCTGACGTGGGCACTGAGAAAGCCACACATTGTTTGAGGATTGCACACATATCCACTTGATACTGTAGTCTGACAAAGATGAGCAGGAAGTTTGGACCCTGCCAGTAGCAGAGAAGTTCATGTGCTGGCCAAAAACCTCCTGTTCTGTAGCAGTCATTGATCTTGATCGATCTATTCTTGTGTCTTCCTTTGCCCTGCTGTGGGACAGCTTCTGCAACTTCTAAAAGAGGAAGAATTAAAAGGTTTTTCTTTTCCCTCACAGAATTTCGTGGTGGCAGTGAGTGCAGAAGGCTGGTTTCATCTTTTTGACCTGACTTCTCTGAATTCAAAACACCCAGATGCTTCAGGCCACCATGAGCTGGCAGGGGCAGAAGAGCAGAAGCCAGTGTTCAAGCAGCACATTCCTGCCAACACCAAGGTCATGCTCATCAATGACATTGGTGAGCCACAGAGCTGGGGTGGGAATGCAGGGTGAAGGGGTTTGTGTGTGAGGCAGTGGGGAGAGAAGGTGGGGGGGACTTGCAGAAGGAAATTACTGTCTTGCTGAAACTGACACTCCAACAAACCACAGCCAAGCCATGGAAGGGAGAAACAAGAACTTCAGAATTTTTCTGAGGTGCAAGCTTTCATGACATGGTTGGGGTCCTCAGGGATGCTAACTATAGAAACCAGCAGAGTGGTTTCTGCATTTTTGCGCTCTTAGGGCTCAAGAGAGTCCGGCTGTCTTTTGCTTTTCCCTGCAGATGGAGATGGGAAGTGTGAGTTGGTTGTGGGTTACACTGACAGGGTGGTCCGTGCCTTCCGCTGGGAGGACTCATCAGAGAACCCAGACCATGTTTCTGGGCAGCTGATCCTGTTGAAGAAATGGCTTCTAGAAGGTCAGGTAAGGAAAAAGGATGTTCAGAGCAGTACTTGTCATACAGTCTTCAAGAGGTGGTACTTTCAAGAGAAGAAGCACAGAATCTCAGTCCTATGAACAAAACAATTGTCATGTCAGTGGCTTGAGAGGAGATTTGCCCAGTGATTTTTTTGTACAGCTGGGAGTTGGTCTGAGAAGCAGTTGCTTTTTCCTGATGGGAGAGCATTATTGGAAAGTACTTGTGTTGCTTTAAAGTGGCTTTAGGTAGGGAACCAACCTTTTACTGAACTTGGATGTTTTGCTTCCAGCTGAATTTGTTCAGCTGCTGCTCAGCTCTATCAGAAGATTTGCCACATTCAAATTTAGTTGCAGGGAGCACTGTAAACCTTTTGGAGTTCTTGACTCTCTCCGTGTTTTCCCTCTGCTGCTGTAGGTGGACAGCCTGTCAGTGAACCCAGGCCCTGGTGGCTCACCAGAGCTGATGGTGTCCCAGCCAGGCTGTGGCTATGCCGTCCTGCTGTGCACCTGGGACACGGAGCAGCGCGACGCAGCCGCGGGAAGGGACGGGTCTGCCCCGAGCAGGTGAGGGTGTTCCTGCAGGGGTGCATGGGCACATGCCCCTGTGGATGCCTGTGACAAGGGGGTGCCACCACATCACTGTTGCAAAGCAGGGGGTGCTGTCACTGTCCTTGCTTCAGTGGCCTGCTGTGCTGCTGACACCTCATCACTTAAACCCACCTACACCCAAGCTTCCATGAACACTCTTCACATCTCTCTCACAAAGATGAATACTGCTGCTTTCCTTTATCCCACTCTCTTCTTGAATTGGGCAAGGAGAGTGGCAAAACCAGCTCCCTGAGGGTTTCTCACTACTGGGAGCTAAGGTAGGGAAGTGAGTGACCTAGATTTCCAGAGAAGGTCACCAGATTACAGGATAACAGCTGAGAGACTGGGCCAAACCAAATACAATACCTGAAGCCCAGGATAAAACTGGGCTCATTCTCTTGTTTCCTGCAGATGAGACAATTGGAAGTTTTCCTAATGAGACCCCTGGCAGCCAGTGCTGTAAATCACAACCACAGCAACCAGGATGTGCAGTGAGGTGCTTGCTACTCTCTTGGTGCTGGAAGGACCCTGGTGGGGAATTTGGGTGCTTCTGTGCTGTTCTGTGAGACTTCAAGGCAGACACAAAAAATGCAGCAGGAGGGGACCTAGGCAATTCTCCTTGATGTCTTAGAGAACTCAGTGAAATGGTACCTGTTAGCCAGAAGCCAGGCCCAGATGTAGTCTGTCACCAAACTGTTCAGTCTGGGCAGATACTTTGTGAGAGAAAAGCAGCCAGGCTTTTATAATAGTAATGACAAAAACTGTCCTTTTTTGGGGGGGTTCCTTTTTTTTTTTTTTTTTTTTTTTTTAATGCATGAAATCATTCTGGGTTTGTGTTTTAAAAAATTGGTATATTTCTTTAATACCTGGGGTGGTATGCATTTTCTTCCTTTACCATTAAAGGGCTCAACCTGTTCACAAACTGTGGCACTGTCTGTGTTTGTAGAAGTGCTCCTGAAGTTGTTCTGAGACAGTCCCAGGTGTGGTTCTGTAACTTTTCCCTGTTGTCTTTCTCTTTTTCCCAGTGAGGCCCCTGTTCGAGATGTGATTCTACACCAAACATCTGGGCGGATTCACAACAAGAATGTCTCCACTCATCTCATTGGCAGCATTGCCCGAGGTGAGAGATCAGCAGCTTGGGGTCTCCAGCCCAGCAGTTGCCCCTGATGGTTTTTCAGTACAGAATGAAATAAATTTTGTGTGGTAGGGAAACAAACTGTTAGAGGGTGCTGCAAGAACACAGGGATCTCAGCCTCTCTTAGCCAGCTCCCAAAGAAAGACAGTTGGATATTTGCATGTGAGCTTTTTATAGCCTTTGTCCTTCCCTAGGTAGCCCTTTATCCTTCACTCAGCACAAGAGTTTTTTTCTGCAGCCTCTGCTGACCTGCATTTAGTCAGTTTGAATGGCTGCCATGCCATGCTCCTACAGATGTCCTTGATCCTTGCTTCTGCATGGCTGCAGCTTATGACTCCTTATGCCCTGGATGCATCTCTTCCTTCCCACAGCCTCATCTTCATTCTTGCTTTTCAGCATTTGAATCTCAATTCCTGGTGGCTCTTTGCTGCTCCTCCTTCTCCTGTGCAGCTCCAACCTCTCCATAGCTGCTTTCATATTTCATCTATGTCATTGTCCTCTGTTTTTTTCCACTGTGTTGTGTTCAGGTCTTGTATCTAAGATCTGCACAGCTGCCAGCTTCTCTCAGCCCTGACACACTGCTCTTGTGTCCAGACTTTTCCTGCATGCTGCCACTGCTTCCCTCCTGTAACTCCTGAACCCTCCTTTGGTACCTATGGAGAATAAGCTTTCACTGCCCCTTGGGCATAATAGAAGGCAGAAAACTCCCAGCAGAGATCACTTGCTCTTGTGTTGCTCTGCCCAAGTATTGCCTCCTGCAGTGCTGTCTGAAAATGATTCAGCCTGTCCAGTGTAATTAGAGGTTGTGGACAAGAGCAATGCACTGGACCCGCCCTCTTGACGTTCCTCAGAGGACCTTTCCTGCCCAGTTCCTAAGCCTGTCATGTTTTCAGCATCTCTGATGCTGCTGTGAGCAGCATGGTCAACAGAGCATGAAATCAATTATTTCACTGCATATGAAGCCTTGCATCTATTGAGAGATGTCTGTGAAAAACGAAGGCACACAGAATAAGGGATGAAGGGCAGGCTGTGAAAAAGCCCACTGATGCTGGACCATCAATAAAGGAACAGCTGAAGAGTGCCATGCTGACCAGTTTCCAAGGGGGACACAGCACATCTCTTGGATCAGAGCCTGTCTGGGTGCTTATCACTAGGGGCAGCTAAGTACCCAACCAGCTGCTTTTGCTTTAGGCAGATCTGCAGAAAGGGGATGGTTTGCAGCCTGGGAGTGTGGAGGGGGGCTGCAGTTCGGAGCTGTCTGTGGGCACTGGAGGTAGGCTCGTGTTGTTAACCTACTCTGGGGAAACTGCCTGCTTGCTTTCACCTCTGCTGGCTTGCTCCTGACTGCCAGGTTTCCTGGGTTCCTCCTCAGGGAGCCAGTGCCTCTCCTGCATTGTCAGTGAAAGGGTTAAATGCAGCTTCCATTGAGTACTGCTCCAGTCCTCTCTCTGAGAGTGTCGTATTTTTAAAACTTGACCTTGCATGTCTTTTCTTTTTTTAGTAGCTAGGTAGAGAGTTGACTGAAGGGCTGAAACAGCCCAGTGGTCAGGGAGCTCTCCTCTTCAGATTTAATTAGTGACATTTGTCACTGCTGTCCTGCACACAACTGGGCAAGGATGGGAGGCAGCATGGATCAGCTTGGTTTGGATCTTTTTTATTGTTTTCAGGAGAGGGAGGGGACGATGTTTACAAAATGGCATCAATGGCAGTAATTTTCTTTTGCACTTACAGGCTCCAGTGAGAATAGTGGCTCAGGTCTCTTTGCCCTCTGCACTCTGGATGGTAAGTCCTGCCAGTGTCCTGGAAGAAGACCTGGGGGGCAGCTAAGGCCTGTCACTAATTGAAAGCAGGGATCCAGGGGCTCAGTGCTTTTGATTTTTAAAAGAATGGGAAGCTGGGCTTCAGAAACCCTTCAAGGGTCAGGCAAGAGAATTTGATTCCAAGACCCCTTCTGCTGACATATTTTATATGAAGGCACAGAGGGCACTGGGAGGATAGATGCTTGTTTAAGTTCCACTCTGTTATGGTCAGTGCCCCCTGCCCAGTACTGATGCAGTGTATCTGCATGATGGGAGCCTGGTAGGGGGGTCAAGTGTCCCCTGTGGATTTAGCAGCCAAGTCCATCCCCGTGCTATTAGCAGCTAACTCTCTGCAACCCTGAGTGTTGAAAGAGTAGGGCCTAGCATTAGCAAGCATCTTGCTCTCTTTTATTGTTTTCAAGACAGTTGTTTTTTTCTTTCTTCAGGAACGCTGAAACTGATGGAGGGAGCAGACAAGCTGCTCTGGTCTGTTCAGGTTGATCACCAGCTCTTTGCTCTGGAAAAGCTGGATGTTACAGTGAGTATCTGAGTAAGGCTGGGAGAGATGCAGACAAAAAACTCAGCATGGCTTTGTGCATATGAACTTAGAAAGGGCAGGAGGAGTATGACTCAGTTGGAAAAGGCTGGGATTATCTCAGGATGACACAGAGTGTTCTGGCTGTAGCAGTACATTCTGCGCTCAGGTCAATCTGCCCAGCTGCAAGAGGTTGAGCTGTGTCTGCCTGTTAGACCCAGCATGCATTTATCCATTCATAAACTTTTGTCTCCCAGCTGTTTTTCAGTCTTACTGCAAAGCTGAATGGTTTTGCTTACTGCTAATACCCTGATTGTCTAAAATCTCTTACAGTACGTAAGGATTGCCATGTAGAATAGAGATGAGGTCCAAGTGCAAAATATCTGGATGAGATGTCCAGAAGTGACATCTGGACATTAGTGTTGTGTCTCTGAACCAGCCAGAAAGATTCTTGGCTGTCCCTGGGAGTAGGTGGCACCTGTGTAATGCTCAGTGCTGTGGTTCCTGCAGGGCAATGGGCACGAGGAGGTGGTGGCGTGTGCGTGGGACGGGCAGACGTACATCATCGACCACAACCGCACGGTGGCCAGATTCCAAGCAGATGAGAATGTCAGTGCCTTCTGTGCAGGTGGGAAGCCTGACTGCAAAGCCAGCCCTCACAGTGTTTTCCCCTCAAAGCTACTGCTCCCATCTAGGAGACCCAGAATCCTTTGTCTGCCTGCAGTGGGGGATAATTTCCCTGTGTGCATGTTGCAGGAGGCCCAGCTAGTCTTTCCTCTGGTGGCATCTGGGAAAAGTAACCGTGAGAGAAAGTGATGCTGAGACTTGTCTATGGTGGCTTGGGGTTTTTTCCTTGTCCTTTTTGGAGGTGCTACAGTGGTCTCTTGTCCTCCACACTGCTTTTTTAATTTGCAGACTTCTAAGCTGTTCTTAAGTGGAGATAAGGAGCCCATGAAATCAGCCTGAGTTTTAGCTCTGCTCAATCCTGTCTCTCAGACCTTCAAGAAGCAGCTTGCACATTCCCAAGCTTCATGCAGTTCAGAGGCGGCTTCTTGGATTGTCTCAAAGGGACTTTGTATACCCAGGCCCATATCTCTGCCCAGGTGCTTGCTGTTTTCTGGTAACAGCTTTGGTACCTCATCATGAAATGTCAATTATTTGCTTTCTCTTTCCTTCTGGAAGTAGTCAGATCTCCACACTTCTGCTTTCTGCAGGCCTCTATGCATGCAAAGAAGGGAGCAACAGTCCCTGCCTTGTTTATGTCAGCTTCAGCCAGAAGATCTACATCTACTGGGATGTGCAGCTGGAGAGAATGGAGTCCACCAACCTGTTGAAAATCCTGGATGGTGACCCAGAGTTTGAAAGTCTCCTGCAGCAGCTGGATGTAGGTGAGTGCAGAAAGAGCAGAGGGCGTACAGAAAGAAAGAGGATGAGATGGCAGATGATGTGCGGGAAACCAGAGTATTTCTTGAGGAAGAGGCTTTCACACTGCCTGGTGAGAATGCCTGACAACTGCTTTTCTCTCTTCTCCTTAGACAAAAACGATGTTGATGCTGTCAGAAACCTGATTCACAAAACACTCTATTTTCCTGAGAAATACCATCTCAGCAGCCCCTCGCAGGATCCTGCTGGAACAGATTCTTCTGCCCACTGCAGTGGCATCCAGGACCCCTTATAACAAGAAGGCTGACATCTTTAATGCCAGCACAAGCTCGTCTGCAGCTGGAGTTGGGCATCTGATGAAGATGACTGTTCCTTCCCTATCTTGTGAAAACTTCCAAACAGGAAAGGGTCTACAGGCTGTGAAGGGATGTTCTTGGCTGTAGGCTTGCCTGTATGTGGTGGGTTGGTTTGCCTTCAGATGAGGCAGCTACAGGAACAGAAAGGGCCAAGGATCTTGCATGTAGGCCTTCTGTTGCCAGTTTCCATAATCCTCACTGACTAGAGTGCACCACTGGTCACTGTGAAGGAGCAGGGAGGTCACAGATGGAGAGAACAGCTGAGCCAAGTCCCCATTTTGACCTATTCTTGGAAGTACTTCAGTGAATACTTCTGAGTTCTTAGCAGGATCACAGTGCAGGAAGTGGAGATGGAGGGACTGAGTTAGGGTGCAGGCATGGGCCTTCTCTCCCACAAAGGTGTATTTAAAGTAGAGCCATGCATTGTTTGTCTTTGCTTTGCTGCTGCTCTTCTGCCAAGCAAGAAGCAGTTTCTCGCAAATCACGTGTTCTGAGTAGCTGGAGACGTGCACAACTTGCACAAATGAGGTGTGGAGAGAGAGCAGCTCCAGCAAACCCAGCTCTGGTCAAGAGTCATTGCTTGTCTCCATCTTCTTGGGCAGGGTGATCCCAGAGAGGGCTGTGACTTAAAGCAGCTGTGAAGCGGTCAGCAAGACCAGTCTGACTGAAGTGTGGATCTGTGGTGCTATGAGAGCTTGGCCATCCACAATAAGCAGGGAAAGTGGAAATGCCACTCCTGCCTCTTGTTGTGGAGAGCATCATGCTTTGAGTCCTGCACAAATCCTGCACAGAGCTGAAAGAGGTGGGCTGGAGGTGATGTCCCACTGGCTGGCATGAGGAGTCTGGTAAAGGGGAGCTCATTTGCAAAAGCCCAAGCATGAGCCTTTCCACATACTGTTGTTGCTGTGCTTTTGCCTCTCTTAGCTTGTCTCTTGCCTAACTCAGCTTGTTAGGAAAGGGGCAGCAGGCCTACCTGCTGGCTTGCATCGATTACCCCCTCTCACTTGTGTGATGTTTTATTGGACATGTGTGATGGATGGAGCTGTCCCTTCGCCCTTACAGCAGCCTGAGTCACAGCAAATACAATCCAGTGATCTGGAGCAAGTGGCAGCATTTAAAGATCCTGCAGGCAGTTGAAAACCTGCTGTGCTTTATTCTGCAAAATATCCAAGGGCAGCCCTAATTGGGAGAAAGTGCTTTGTATAGAGAAAAGGAGTATCTTGCCCTTGGGTGAAAGTGACTATTGCTGAAGCAGCCCTGTGTGGTAGAAGGCAGGATCTTTACATAATAAGCCCTAGCTGTTCTTTGCAGTTTCCCTCTGTAGATTTATATAAGCTTTTCAGAGGACAGTGCTGTCCTCTGCATTTGGTGGCAGTGGAAGTTGGGGCATGGAGCAGTGAAATGGTGTGACCTGCTCTGTACCTGCCAGCTTGCTTTTCAGGCCACTGTATCTTCTGACTCTCTAACTGCACTGCAAGTTTCTCTCCATTTTAATAGCCTTGCTGAGAAGCATTTTTAAATGTTTCCCTGTCCTACTAAGTGCTTGTGTAAAACGGAGCTCTTCAGGCAGGACCTTTCAAGTAATAATAAAGCTTATTAACAGTGGTGTTTAGAGCAGCAAGGCTGGAGTCTGTGAGCTGTGGAGAGCTGATACCACAGGGACCATCTACTCATGGGCTAAAGCGAGGAGTTTGTCGTGAAGCTTGTCAGACCTAGACTGTAACCTCAACAAATTGTCAGCTCTTGTGACACTGAGATGTGCAGCCACCCATCCCAGCAGGAATCATCACCATTGCTTCTGGCAAATAGGGCCTGGCAGGGAAACAGCGTGGCTTACACTCATAACAGAACAACTGAGTGCTGTCTGTCCATGCCAAATATAAACCTTTATTAGCAACACCAAATATAAACCTTTATTAGCAACACAAGCGCAAGGGGTGTACAAATGGGTGCACATGGCTGGAACTGCTTTATGCAAAACAAACTTTGCTGTACAGGTTGAATGATCTCCAAGAAAGGAAGGTCAAACTGATCCACTGTTGGACTATTCATTGTTGAGAAAGAATGAGAAATGGTTGCTGAAGAAGAGATGACATTTTTCTAAGAAACATCTTTAAAAGAAAATGGGGCAAAAGCCTTGCAAATATTGTGCACCCTAACCCTCTTTTGCTGGCCTGAGGATAAAATTGCTGTGCAAGCCCAGGCAATGCACACTATCAAAAGCAGAGGTGAGAAAATACAGACACTACAAAAACATCTGTTCCCCAAAACTTTTCAGCTCTTAAAAACCATTGGAGAGGAAAAATACTAACATTTGAGGGCTTCCCCTGACAGTTTTGTATTGCATGCAGCACATAATAACTTGCAGATGCATTTTGCTCCTGTGCCCCTTGTGCACAAGAGAAAATGAAGTGTCTACAGAAGAATAAACTGAACATCTGTACCGTTCCTTGGCCAAAAGATGGCTTTCCTTATTTTTTCCTGCCTCGAACTCCTAAGTGCCAAATACTTCCTGAAGTCTGTTATTCAGGCTACTTCCACTGGCAACAATTTTTCTGAAGTGAAGTGTCCATCTTCTCAGGGAAGGAGCCCCTTAAGGCCCTGTCTCTGGAGTGATGGAGTTACATTATACTTTCTTTGTAACTAATTGTCTCTTTGTCCTTGCCAGCCGACACAAGCCGCAGAGTTGGAATTAGAAGTGGTTCCTTCCCACACAGCAGGAAATGTTTGCTGTATCCTTCTCTAGCAGATTGGCATAACCTGCTGGTGCTGGGAAACTTTTCAACAGGGCAGCATTTGCAGGACAGCTTTGTATGTCCCAGTGCCAGCACACAGCAAGTGAGGAGTCTGACAGTATTCTCAGGCACTGGGGGTATTTGCAGATAAATGATTCATGGCTTTGGTTCTGATGCTCAATTTACTAGCAAAAAAATAAAGGGAGGGGGTTGCCTTATTTTCCTGAGACATAATAAACCTGCTCTCCATCCCTGCCTTTGTTTTTATTATCTTTCTGCTATAATTTAGTTATTTCTATAACTCTTTAGGTGTATCCTGGCATGTGCCAGTGGAGTCTCTTGAAAGGAGGATTGAATGCAAATGTAGGTATGTGGCTCAATGGTCTTCAATGCCAGAGCTTACCTGCTAGTGAAAGAAGGATCAAGCCTCTGGGAATATGGATGCCTGCAGCTCCCATTCTGTTCAAAAGCAAGTGACCCCAAGCTCCTGGAAGTGGTCCTGATTATGGCTTTGGCAGAATGCCTGTTCTCAGGAAGGACACAAGTCCTTCTCCCCACCCCAGGTGTATTGCACACTGTTCCAGAGATTTGCCATGGCAGATCTTTCCCTGCAGACTGTTCCACAGCTGCCATGCCCACTCTATTAGAAAGCAGCCCTGATAGGAGCTGACCACCAAGGTGCTTCAAAGAGATTATCCCTAAAATAATAACATTCCATTTTTTATATTGGAGGGACAGGTCTCATCACTAGGAAGCCAGTGTTGGACACAAACAGGATGTGCCTGTGTCCTGCTCTGAGCTGGCACTTTGTACTGATCTTCTGCTTTCTGTATGAAAGTGTTGGCATTTTTGATTTTCAGTGAAAAAGACCTTTAGATTATTCCATTGTTCCCTTTATCTCCCAAAAGCAATAGAGATGACTGGAATTGAGAGTAGGGAAGTATATATGTATAATAGACTTTTCCAAGAGAAACTACAATTAAGACAGTCTTCAGCCTTGCCAGCCCACTCAAAAATTACTTACTGTGCTTCCCAGTGTTGGAAGACTTAAAAATGACCATGTTTGTAGATGGGAGTTGAGTTGGCTTCTTTGAAATGTTGTAAGTCCTATTTTACAATCACATTTTAAAGCCAAGACTTCCTTCTTTCACAGTGGAGGTTATGCTTCAGATGTAAAGACACAAAAATGCTTTGGAGAAAGAAAAATATCTGTGGGCTAGAATTCAGAATACAGATGTCAAATGCAGTAACTGTGTGTCATTTTGTGCCAAGTAACTTGGGGAGATGAAAACCCACCAGGAGCTGTGTGCGTGAGGAAAGCAGGTACTGACCCTGTAAGGTTAGACTGTGATTTAGTGAATGGGTTGAAGTGAGGTGTCTGCCATGACATCATGACCTGCAATTCTCATTTAGTCATATAAATATTTTTTTCTGGAAGTTCTGCCCACAGCAAAGCTTGATGGGGAGGTTCCAAGATAACTGTTGGCAACAGATTCCGCAATGTCTGGACAAAAGAGACTTCTGCTGAGTGGATCTCTGTTCAACTGACATGGACAGGAGGAAGGTGAAGAGTATGTCTTCTGCCCTGGAGCTGATTTCAGAGCAGAGAAATGTATTAATTTATTGCTTTCTTGGAAACATCCTCTCTGTGACTGGGAATTTATACATGCAGTTGTTAACAAAGAGGAGAAAGGCTGGCAAGATTGTGGCACAATGTGGGAGTGTATTAGCAGCCAGGGTACAAGGCAAGTGTTAAAAGGATTCTCTAAAAAGGAAAGAATTCCTTTTTGAAGAAAATTTGCCACTTACCAGTGTGAAAAGAAGGAAAGGAGGATCCAAAGGAGTCACTAAGCAGAGAAGAGAGGAATAGATAGGGCTGGAGATTTTCACCTACTGTAGCACATCAATTCAAAGATGAGCCTGAACTGTTTGTTAATGGTTTAGGATATGAGGCATATGATCCACAGAAAGGCTTCAAAAAGGCTGGAGGATGTTCTGGATGTGAGCAAAAGCAGTTATTCCAAGACAGACATGTAGGAACAGCACTTGGTGAATTCCAGCAGCAGCTGGAGTGCAGTATCTGCAGGGCTGCAAGTGACAGGCAGTAGTCAAAACAGAATTGTCAACTCAAAGTTGTGGCAGTTTTCTGTAGGATCCCATCCAACACTCCTTTTAAATCATTGGAAGGATTCCTGTTGGCTTCAGTTTGAAGGCTCCTGCTCACCTACACCCTGCCCTAGCCAGGACCCAGCTGCCAAACTGACACCAGGCACTGCTCTCGTGAGGAAGTGGCCAGCACTTAGAGCTGTTGGTGACCCTCCCCTTCCCATGCACTTGTGGGCACCAGCAATGCCCAGCAAAAGCTGTCAGACACTCTGGAAGGCAGCAGAGACCTGCCTGGGCATCAGCAAAGCCCAACAAAAGCCCTGTGCTCCTCCACAGGGAAGCTGGGCCCCTTATGGGCCTGGCAAAGCTTGGCTAAAGCCCTGGGACACTCTGAAAGGCAGCAGGGCCCCTTGCAGGGCAAAGCAAAACTTAGCAGAAGCCCCAGGGTGCTCTGGAGGGAAGCAGAGCCCCTTGTGGGAATGACAAAAGCCATCAGATAGGGCTAGGTGGTTGTGGTTAGGTGCAGGATTAGGGAAATGGGTTAGGTGGTTGTGGTTAGGTGCAGGGTTAGGGAAATGGGTTAGGTGGTTGTGGTTAGGTGTAGGGTTAGGGATATGGGTTAGGTGGTTGTGGTTAGGTGTAGGGATAGAGTTGGGGTTAGGGGTTATATTTTGTTACATGGTTTGCGGTTTAGAGGTAGGGGTGAGCTTTAGGCCTTGGAGTTAAGGTTTAGGGGTTGGGGTTAGCTTCATGGTTAGCATTATGGTTGGGGATTATGGTTAGGTTTTGGGCTTAGGGTTTATAGTTAATGTCTTTATGATTAGGTTTCTGTCTTGGGTTTAAAGTCACATGGTAAATGTTGGGGTTACAGTGTTAAATTTAGGGTGTTATTTTTAATGTTTTATTTTATAGTTAGGAGGTGGAGATTTGATTTGAGTGTTAAAATTAGCATTGAGTTTTAGAGTTTGTTTTAGGAGTTAAATTTAGGATTAGGATTTAGTGCCTTAAATCTTAGATTTTGTGTCATTGTTAGGGTTTATTGTTTGGGTTAGGGCTAAAGTCAGCTTTTGGGTTGAGAGTTTTTTTTAATAGATCATAGAAATTAACAAGATTTGTAATGGACATGGTATCTGTATGTGTAGACTATTTGCCCTTGTTCTACATGCTGTTTTTAGAGGGCAGTGGGATTTGGAAACTGGGTGAGTTGATGCATATAGCAACAGGTGTTTTGCCTATCACAAGCAAGATTTTGTCAGCAGAATTGGCCCAGGCACCACAGAGACTGCAGCTAGAATACAAGATGGTTTAGTACAAGTGTGAGCTATCTAGACCCCTTGATAGGGATTTTAGAAGCCAGTCAGGCATGCAAGTGATACAAATCCAGGCGGAATTACTGCTGCTTTGGAAGACAGGCTCATGGAGCAGGCATGCTTTCCTGACTAAATGAAAGAACCATTGGTGTCACTCGAGAGATTCATGGAAAGAAGTTCATGCAGCCAGAAATAGTCAGATGCACAAGTAGAAGAGTGGCAGAGATGTCAAGGAATGTATCAGAAGCTGCAAGATATGATGACTAACAGTAAAAGTCTGCTGCTCCTTGTGGGAGCAGCAGATGCCAGTCATGCCAACCATCACTGGTAACTGAATCCCAAATCATATCAGCCAGGCTTTACTCTGATGTCCTTAGCATGTGTTAAACTAGTAGAGAAAAGAACTAACACAAAAAAAAAGCAAAAATGCATACAGATATTTTTTGAGAAGCACAACAGGGACAATGACCAGTTTGATAAAAAAGGAAGAGAGTCAGCAGTGTTTAATCCAGGAAAATAAGCCAAATGGGGTTGTCATTGCCTTTTAAAGGTGGATAAAGGTATAGTTTGCAGTTTGGACAGTGAATCAGTAGCCATGAGGCATGGAACAAGCCCTGATCTGGTGCATTTTTCCTAGAACTAGTTAAGAATAGAATATGTGTTTTTAATATAGCTATGCTTTAGTTTGGAAATGAAAAAGAAATTAAAGAAATCAAATAGACCCAATTGTTAAGTGACTTAATAATCACCTTTAACATTCCAGATGAATTCACAGCTCTCTATTCCAGATGAATTCACAGCTCTCTAACCAGAGCTGATGCTACAAATTCTCATTTGGTGCAAGAGAAGCAAAGTTGATGGACTGTGTGATGCCAGGACTCAAGGCTGATGATGTGTCTGTGTTTAATCACTGGATTTCAAGTTGGAAGAAAGGAGCTGACAGAGCAGAAGACTTGGTGCTGTAATTCATCTCAGCATTTAAACTGAGTGGCAGGATCTCTGATGAAGCAGCAGAGGGAACAGGGATGCAGCTCTAGCAGCTGGAGTGCAGAGAGGAGTGGCCTGGCCAGAAGAGCAGGGTGTGCAGGTCTGGTTACAGAGTGTACACCAAGAGATGATAAGCATTGCCATTCATATAATATAGCTCAGTGCCCAGAGATGCAATGGCAAAGCCCAAGCCCCTGTCAGTGTTTTAGGTGTCTGCACTCAACATTTCTGTGAAGGTTTCTTAGAACTGAGAACTATAACTTTTTGCCACAGTTTTCCCAAGAAAATACTTCTGTTCTGCTCTGAGCCAGCAAAAAGCAGCAAAATCCAGCTTCCCAGAGTACAGACAAAGGGAACAGAGCCCTTCTGACAAAGAAACAGGACTGGTGTACACTGGCATTGAGGCAATGAGAAGGAAAACATTTGTGGTAATCTTTGGAGGTCTTTGAAGAAAACGCTGTTCTCCTGTCAACAGAACAACTGGAGATAGATTGTTCACAGAGACTCTCTTGTGAACAGAGTGTGTTGTAAAGTCATTAAAGGGGTAGCATAAATTTATTACAGAACCAGAAATTGGAGTGACTAGTGCCAAATAGCAGAACAAGAACAAAATGCCCACTTGGCACATCAGGACAAGCAAGAGGGTCCACTGAAAGGAGGGATATCTCAAGTTGAGGCACTCCCAGTGACAGCTTCCAGCACCCACTTGCCTTTTTCTCACTCCCCATTGAATGCCTCAGCCTAGAACTCAGCAAGGTTTGGGGCATGGGAGCCTCACCCTCATCTCTCTCTCATGTCAGCAAGTCTCCAGACATGGGGAATGCAGCCAGTCACTGACCAGGCTCTTCAGAGGCATGTAGAAAAGGCAGCTCCTCACTCAGTGCTTTAAATCTCAGCACTCCTTCCTCCAAGTCGATGCAACACTAAAGAAGGAGAGAGGCAGTTATTTTCTGGACATTTCAGATAGCAAATCTCATGATATCTATGACTGAGGAGAACCTGTAACACCTCTCTGGGTTTGTAGAGACCTTACAGTTTTCCTTCCCTGCCCCACGTGCTACCTCCTTGCTCCAGCTCCCTGTAGTGGGGTTCATCTCCAATCCCTTCACAGGGCCATTTCCCTCCCTTCTTCCTATAACCCTCTCTGAGTTGATGTCCTCACATCCCTCAGCCATTCAACCCATTGTTTTTCCTGTTTTATGAGCCTGGCACGTGGCCACAAGTGTGTGACAGGCAGGAGCCAGCTTGCTGCAGCCATACCCTGAGCCACCCAGGAGCCAGGCTCAGCAGAGCACTGACCCTGAGCCAAGCTGACAAAAGGACTCTTCCCACTGATGGCCAGCAAGTGTTGGACACTGAATGTGATCACACAGCTGCACTTGGCTCAAAGCAAGGGCACAGCTTGTTCTCATCTGCCTTCCAAGGGCAACACGGATATGATTCGTGCCTTTTCTTGTCTCCTCTTCAGTTTCCTCTTGCTGCTTGCACGTTGTATGGTCAGGAATGCAGAGAATGGGAGATGTGATTGTATCCTACTGAGTGTTTTCTTTCTTAAAACCTTTAAGAAGGGCTGGGAATGAGTCAGTGACTCAGAGCATACTGCGCCCAGTCAGGCAGCTGTGTGACAAGCATTGCCCTGAGAGACCTGGACATTAAGTAATTTTGATGCTCACAACAACCAGATCTTGGGGAGTTTCCTGAGGGGAGCTCTGCAATAAGCAAGGAGCTGTTCCTTACCTTAAGAGACAACAGAGTCTGGAGGCCAATGCAAAACTCCAGCATTTCATCATCTGAGAAGAGAGAAGAGACTGATCAGGCTATAGGTTATGTAATACTGCCTCATTAAAGAAAGTGTGTCTCTCCTGTAAAAGGATATGAAATACAAGAACATCTGATTCATGAATTTTTATGAATCAATGTAAAGCAGATAAAAAATAACAAAGAAAAGGATGAGTTAAACACACCAACATTAACAAGCAGGTGGTAGCAGTGAAAATAATAAATCTCTCTCTTCTGTCACTCACTGATGAGCCTTTAAAGGAGCTATTTAAGCACAGTCCTGTAGATGGTCAAAGTGAACTTTGCAGCTGATAAGAGAAGGAAACCATGATTATCATGACTACTGTGAGGTAAATTTGAAAGTGTTTGTGTGATTGAAACTTAATATATCAGAAGGGGCTTGTGAGATCCCATGAAACTTACTGTGAGCTGTGTAAGGGAAGGACAAAAGGCAGAAGGCAAGCAGCAGGGTGAATCAGGGGAGAACAAGCATGGGGAAATGGAAAGGAGAGGGGATAAGGGTCACATGCAAGCAGGCCCTTGGTTCAGTTTTCTGACCAAAGCCTGCACTTAATGGCTGCAATCTATCCAATCTTATTAAATAATTTTTATTAAGGTTTTTTTTTCAAGTTACATTTTACAAATGTGACTTGTCTGTCCTACTTGTAACTGCTGCAAGTCTTCAGTGTCAGCAAACACAGAAGATGCCAGGGGTTAAAGTGGTAGCTAAGGGGAATTCCCAGGTCCTGGAGTCTGCAGTAATTAGCAGCCACTTGTAATTTCATTAGCACTTCACACATCTCCTGGAGAACTGCTTGCCCTGTAACCCGTGGCTGTAATTTATAATTTATTTCTAACCACTTAAGTGAGAGCACAGGGAGATGTAAGACACAGGTGTGGCAATTCTGTTCCTTCCAGACAGCCATTTCCATGTTCCAACAAAATGGGTAGTAGGTAGCAACTCTGGGGTAAATTCACCTGTTATGGTGCTAATACAGATTCCCCATGAAGGGCAAGAACAAGCAGAGTGGAAACCAGGAAAGAATAGCAAGCTGGAGTGTGTAAGAGGAGGAAGCTTTTTATGGATAACTTAGGAATGTGGGAAGAATGAAAAGAGAGAGCAAGGCAGGCCTTGGAAGGTTAACAGGATCATTGAAGATGGGGAAACAGATTAAAGCAAGAAGGTAAAGCTGGAAGACTAATAGGGAGAAAAATCGGGGGGGAAAGAAGACAATCCCGTTATTTTCAGCATATGCACAGCTTGATGAAAAAGCAAACATGCAGCCTTTCTGCTGTTTCTGGGCCTTCCTCAGTGCCCCTGGCCTGACCTTGTCTCCTATGGCTCCTTCCTTCACAGGGTCCTGCTGCAGGACACTGAAGGAGACTCAGCACTCTGGGACTTCCAGGTTCTTTCAGGGTGCTCCTGCAGCAGAGGCACAGGAGCACACAGAGAAGCACTCTAGGAAATAAGCTGTACCCTCTGTTACTTTCTCTGATGACTTCCAGACAGCCAGAGATACAAGTTCCCATTCCATAGCAGAACATAAGGTACCAGAGGATTAATCAAAGCATCTGCAGAATTTTATGAAAGGTCCATTTTAGAATTGAAATGAGAATTTTTCACATCCTTAGTTAAGACTGAAAAAGGACCTATTTTCTCCCCACTTTCAATGTCTTCTCTGTACTCTTCCTATGCCCTTTCCCTTTGGTTACATTGAGGGTATTCACTTGTATGTTGGCCTGCAGTGGAGGTGGCCACATCACCAACCTTCCACCATGTCATGCTTTTTCCAAAGGTCCTTTAAATGCCCTTGGCAGGGCAAGAGGGACACAGGAGAAACAAGGAAGAGGAGGGACTGGCACTCTCACCTACAACCAGCGCTGAACACAGCACTGTCTCCTGGCCAAATTGCAACTCCAAATGTTCTACTCGGCCAACAACGCTGGGGATGGGAGGAGAGAGGTCTCCACAGTCCATGGCAGACACTTCTTCCAGCCTGTGGGACACAAGAGGTGTTATTGCCTCAAGCAGAGGAAGAGGGGGAAAACCAGGAGTTCTCACTGATGGCAGTTCTGGGTCTCACTGGGAACAGGCCCACAGGAGGGGGAATCTCTTTCATACCGTATGCCTGGAGGCAGATTCAACCAGCAAAACCTCAGCACCAGCCACCAGCTGGGCAACTTTGCCTTGCAGCACATGCAGGCAGAATTGCACAGCTCTGCCTCAGAGCCTGGGGTCTGCACACACCTTTGCCAGTGCTCTAATGCCTTTCCCTGTAGCCCACCCTCTGCATCTTCTCCTCAACAGCCGTGCCAGCCATTATCCCTGGGGATGGGAATCCAGAGTGCCTGAGTTCTTGCCATGGTTTTTCCTTTAGCCATCCCTCCTTTTATAGTATGCAAAGACTTACCCCAGCTGGTTTAAACACCTCTTGGAGATGAGGTTTGGTAGACACCCAGTGTTAACAGTTGCTTTCAATACCTGACCTTGGCACTAGAAAAAACAACAACAGATAATTACTGTAGGCTCAAAATTGGCATATTCACTCCTCCAACAGTGTGACTTGGATTTTCTGAGCAACATAGCCAAGTTATGGTGTTTCAGGCAGTAGTCAGAAGGCAAGAGTTTCATCCAAGACAATGTGCTTTCCCCAGTGCTCTGCAAATCACTCTCAAACACTTCTCTTTGAATTTGTCTTCCTTCATTTGTATTTGATTGCCCAGACACTTACCTTAGTGTGACTTAAACTTAACAGTGTTCCAGTCAAGAGATGCACAGTTAGAGAGTTTGTTCATAAAACCAACACGGACTTTGTTAGCAGAGCAGTAAGTAATATGCAAAAGTTTCTGAAGGAATACAAGCACGTGCTAGTTTTTCTGGGTTTCATCTCTCCATTTTTTCTGGTATTGCAGGGAACAATGTCCCAGAGATAAACGTTTATTCTCAGTAGAAAAACTGCCAGAGGGAGAAGTCTGAAGGAGAAGCAGGAGCATCCAGGACAAACACATCTGAAATGAGCTTGAATTTAAGGCAGTTCCCAAGATAACTGGCAAATCCATGAGACTCCTGAATCCAAGATACAATCTAATCAAGAGATTACTATTTTGTGTAGGGCTTACATCATATTCCTATATAGCTCCTTAAGTTTATAAGACTTGATATTACAATAGTCACAACTGGTGTCATTTAGCAAAGGGGCCTGCACTCTGCCCTGCACCCAAATAACCTGTGCATGATTTTACTGGAATAATTCCCAGTGCTTTGCTCATTTCATTTCTTTACCCCTTTGAACATGAAAGGGAAATGAAGATAAGGTTGCCATCTGTTTTCTGTCCCCTCTGCAGAGAGGTCCTTAATGGCAGGCCTGAGGTGATGAAGTAACAGCAGGTCACATTTATTTTAGGGGTGTGAAAACACAGATTATCAAGAATATCAATAAGAATTAGGTTGAGGAAAAAAAAAAAGAGGAACAGGACTTAGTAAGGAACTGGAAAAGATGGACTGTCATCTACAAAATGTATCTTTACCTATGGTGCCTAATCATACCTATTCTTGATGGCCTCTTCTTCAAGGCTCTGTCTTACACCACTGTCCAAAAAAAAAAAAACAACAAAAAACCCTCCAAAAAAACCCACTTCCACAAAATTTTCCTTTTCAGGGGCTCATTGTACTCCTACTATCATGTGTGTTTTTCCTATGATTCCTTCTCTTCCATCCACTATGGCACTCTGTGACACAAACCACTCAGAAGATTCAGCAACAAACCTGCCACTTCTTCTCTACTCTTATGCTCAGTCCCAACAAGTTTAAATGCTTGAACACCTTAAGCAGACCAGCGTGCCTATGAGGGACTCTGTGCAGCACCAGCAGGGTCAAGGAAAATGTCTCAATTTGCTGATTTCTTATCTAAGCCTGTGTATGATTATTAATCATCACTGAGAGCTGCATCCAGTATTTTCAAGATTTCATTTTCCAAAATGTGTTATCTGTTAGTAGTTATAAAGAAAAAGAAGAAAACAACTCCTGTGAGAAATACTGGAATGCTGCAAACAGACAATACCAACAGGGTCCCTTTCAGCCCAAACCATTGTGTGATTCTATGGCAAATCTCCCTTCTGATTTTAGAGCTCTGCAATATCGTTGCTGCCTGGTCCTCCCTAACACATCAGCACTGCCTGTAAAGGCTGTGGCCAGACTAAGCAGAGAGGCAAGATAATGCACAGAGTGCAGGTGCATGCCAAACATCTGCCTCCACATCCTCTATACTCAGAAACAAGACCTGGAGCATGGATAGCAATTGCTGAGGAATCACTTGGGAGCAGCAGACTTGAGATGCATGAGCTGCTGCTGTTATAATAAGCCTAAGCTGTATCACTAGGCAGATTACTGAGGTTTTTTTCAGAGCAGGCTGGGAAATCTGCAAGTTAGAGACTTGACAGGATATAATAGGACAGTGATTATTCTGTAGAAAACAACATTTAATCTCATTGAGTGTAAACAGCTCTTCACCACTAACCATTTCCCTAGAGAACTCACCAGGAGTCCTTGGTCCAGTGTACCAAAACTACAATGCAGGCAGCTCATAAGCACTGCAAGGCTTCTTGGAATAGAAGGACTTTTCATCACTTTACCCACTCTCATGTCTACTCCAGAATTTTCAGTCTGTTATTACCAGTCACGTTTATTTGTTATCTAAATGTCAATTATGGGAATTTCCAAGAAAGAGGGGAAGGGGAATCAGTAAGGATCACTATAATGAGCTGTGTTTTCTGAAATGATGTGAGTTCTAAAGTCAAGAAGCTGCTTTAGCAAACAAAAGGCTGATCAATCACAGGTTGCTTTGGCATAGAGGAAAACTGGCCTTCCACAGCAGTGATATTTTTCAGCATCTATTTCCAAGTCAACAAGAGACAAGCCCCACCACAAAAAATAACAGCTTGATTTTATGTTGCAGAGGCCAGTCATGACTAGTTTTCCAAAGTACTTCTCAAAAACTGTCACAAAAATGGCCAATTCTGCTAAAGTACCGCCTGGGCAACCCACCTAAGCAAATAGGAGGGTGAGTGACTGTAGTACAACTATTATAGACTAGGTCTGTCTGTGATCTCTGGGACTTAAAAGGCCTTAGACATAGGGCAACTAAAGCCTGTTAAGAGTAAAACCACTTACTGCCTGAAACTCCATGTACCACTGAAGTCTACATATATTTGGGTTTATTCCCTAGTCACATTCACAAGTCAGGTGATGCATTTGTTACCCCTTTGGGATTTTCAGCATACGTGCCTGTGTGTAAATGGTAAATAACCTTTTCTCAGGAGTCAGGAGAAAAAAAGACTTCTCTGGGCCTGTGCTCCATTTCTAATAAAAACTGCACTATAATCAAGCAGATCTCCAAAAGGTACCAGCTCACCTCTCTGGTTCAAATGAACTGGCAGTCTGAATCCTATTTCCTGCCACAGCTCTGTTACTGACAGCAGAGGCTTTTTGAAGTTCACAAATGTGAACATCAAAAGCAGCAAGACAAAAAGAAGGGGAGGAAAGCTTCCCTTCCTTCAGTGTAAGATCAAGGGTGACAAACAGTGACTGGCTCCTAAGAAGGGCAGAAAACGAGAGAGATGCCTGTGCAGAATTCAGGGAGCGTTACATGCAGTGTTAGGTCTATTTCCTTGCATGTGATGCTCATTAACCTTCCTCTGTGAGGGAAAATATCATGTGGGTGACAGCTGGGGTTCAGTGCATTAGAAACACAAAAGGAAATGCCTGGTGGACTGTAGCTCTGACTTAGCTACTGCCCCTGGGATACAACTCCTGTACATGCCTGTCCTTGTTCAGTGTACATGCCTGGCAAAAACCCCACCCTTTATTACTAAACTTCCTCCTGCAGAACAATAAGGACAGGCTATTAAAGAAAAAGAAACACCTTTATTTGCTCAAAACCCGGCTCCAAGTATTTGGAGAAATTACCCTGAGAGCCATTCATCCTAGTATTCTGTCCCCAGGTGTGGTTATGTTAACCCAGCTATATTAAAGTCTAAAATGCAGGATAAGCAATGCCTAATTGCAGCAGTGAAGGCTGCAAAACAAACCAGACAGTGGCTTTGCTTGGTACTGAGATGTCTGATCTAAGCCTTTCAGAAACTTCCTACCAGGCTGTGTTTCTATTATGATTTATTGTGCTACATGAATTTTCAAAGGTATATATGTTTTTCTTGGAAGTGTAGCCTTTACACTCGCATATGGGAGACGTTCTTTAGGACAGGTAACTGAACTAAAACCAGCTTTAAAATGGGTTTTGTGCAACAGGTCTGTATCTTGGTGAGTCTCATAACTGCATGTTACTGTGCAGCTCTAATCATCCAGCCCTCTTCCATGGGCCGCCGCTTTTGGATGTGCTTTCTCTAACTGCAGGGGCCAGGGTGTAGTGTGCTCTGCGGTATAGGAGGATATAAGAAGAAAAGGAAGCTAAAAATACTGCTCCCATCAAGAGATGCAACTGTGCTAATTTGGAGCACAGTTAGCCAGCCACCTTCTGAGGAGCTCCTTTGACACCTGAGAGAATCAGACTAGACTGGAATTAGTTAAATGTAAATCAGCTAGAGGCACCTGTCTTCAAGTGATAAGGAGACATTCCTTGCTTCTACACGCAGTTATAAAATACCTCATATCATGGGAAAGCTGGCCTTCAAAGCAAGGAGATGTGATTATGGTAATTTATGTTCAAATATGGGCAACTAGAAGAAGGCATGTAGCAGAAAGGCTTTCCTCTGGCTTTTGGAAAACCTGCATCCAGATTCTAGGAGAGGCCATGCATGAATTCTCTTCTTTTTGGCTGCAGCTGGCTTTGCAATTTATAACTCAGCATGGCCCCTGGGAGGGGGGCAGCTGGAACTCAGTGATGCTGATTTCACAGTGATGGCAAATGCTCAGTGTTGTTGCCTTACCTGGCACTGTATTAGCAGGGGTGAAGCCTCTTTTCTCCTGTCCTCTCCCTTTTCCATCTTTTCATCCTGGTCCTTGGCCAGCGGAGACTGAACCCGTGCAGACAGACCCCTGGCCTCGCCCCGCAGCTTGTTCAGGTTGCCTTCCAAGAGGCGCCGCTGGACCACGCTGTGAGGCTGCTGTCTCCATCACAAAGAAAGAGAAATCCCAGCTAAGTATGGAGCTAAAGACAAGATATTTGCTAGCCCAGGCATGCAGGTTGGAAATGCCATTAACCCAAATGGTCATCCTGGTGAAAAACATGCTTATCCAAAAAAACTTTCTTTAAATCCCAAGGGTTTTTTTGGTAGCTGCTAATTTGGTGTTAAAGTTTGGAATGTCTGCAACAGGCAGGTCTCTGGGATGCAATTATTGGAGGAGAAGAATATGCCTGATGAATTCTCTCCCCACACATATCTGTTCCTTCAGCTAAACATGCACTGGAGAGTCTAATTTCTAATTAGAAATTTTGAATTAGCGCACTGCACAATTCTAATTTCAAATTAGTGCACTGCCTGCTGGGTGTATGCTGACATCCCACCAGGCACATTCACACCTTCCAGTGTGGGAGGGCACGAGGAGCACAGCATGTGTGTGGTGCACATGTGGGCAAGAAGGCAGGACTGCGGATATTTTAGGTGTACCAGCTATTATTTGTAGTGAAGCAGGAAGCTCCCCTAGGAGGAAACTAAAACGAACTTCTAATGTTCCCTGGAGTCTGACTCTGCTCCCCACCATCAGATGCTCTAGATTTTGCCCAGCATTGATCCATCCAGTCCCTGCACAGCTACTGAATCAACAATGGGCAACACCAACGGAACAGGTGCCTGTTGCAGGTAGCTTTGTCCTTTATCCATGTACTCAGCCCCACGGCCATTCTGCAGGAGTGCAGCTGCTCTGGGCTGGCCATGGCATTCCCAGTAACAACAGCCTGTTAGAAGAAAGGCCAACAATCTAAAGGGGTTAATGTGTTACAGCTTAAATTGTTGTTTTTATCTCTCTAAAGAAAAAGAAAAAAATGAATCATCTCCCAGGTGGTACAGCAGTTTGATGCAGGATCTTGTCAATGGGCAGGCCAAAGACCTGAACTAGACCAGATCTGCCAATGAGCTGGGCTGCATTAACCCCACAGTTTCCTTGTGTTTCAGACTAGCCTCATGCAGGGCCAGAGAGGTGTGCAAGCTGCAATATGAAGCACCCTAATTTGTCAGATTTGCCCAGTGGTTGGTGCAGGATGGCTGCCACTGGCTCTTTGGTCACACTCAGCATTCCTCTTTGCAAGATGCCAAGTCCCTCTTACCTCTGCCTCCCTGCCACTCAAGGGGTGACAGTCAGATCATTCACTTGCTGCATGAGAAACACTGCAGCAGTTGAAAAACTGGGGCAAAAATATCCCTCTGTTCCTGGTCTTTTCCCAGCCTACTGTGCCAGCCCACAGCACAGCTGGCCCTTGTGCTTAGCTCCCTAAATACTCTGAGCACAGTGCCAGTTTGGCTGCCTGCTAACATCTGGGCCATGGGAAAAGGGCAGGGAACAAACAGCAGGTCCCCAAATTCCCATCCTCCCTCCTGCCTCTCACAATCTGCCATGCAAAGGACCTTTCCCCCTTCCTGCAACCTTTCCCACAGAATGAGCAAGCTCTTTGCAGCTGCCACCTCTGTCCCCTTCTTGTCACTCAGGCTGGGAAGGGACCAAGTGCTGGTGGGGATTAGCTGAGCTTTGGGATTTTGGAGGCAGCTGGTTCAAGAGCAGACTCCCAGGGCCCTGCCTATCTTCTCTCTCATCAGTGACATGGATGGAGAAGTGGGGAGAGCAGTGCAGCTCCTGGACTGGTCAGAAACAATTAGATTTAGAGGATGGTAAGGGAGGATGTTGCGAGTGTTGTGGCCAGGAGCTGGAAAGCATGCCCTCTGAGGCACTTAGAGGGACCAGAGAAGATTCCCAGTGCAACTTAGGGAAGGTTCAGGTCCTCCAGTGTGAAACCTCCAGGCCTTGCTATGATTAGTGACATTGTATGAGCTGGGGATCTTGATTTTTGGGAGGTGAGAAGCCAGATCTTCAGGCCTTCTTGGTACTTCCAGAATATTTTAGCTCATGTAGCTACTTTTTTTTTTTTTTAATTTTTCCATTAAAAAAAACCCAAAATTGATCATGCTTTTTGTTGCAAAGGTGGAAACATGAGATCTCCACGGCAATATGTAAATACTCATTATTGGAGACATGATGGGCCCATCAAAATACAGGCACTTCTGGATGCATTGCTTAAGCTCAGTGCCCACCCAGAATACACAGAGAACAGTGGCAAAAAGTAACAGCTTGTGGCTGCAAAAGAAAGTAGGTATTTTATTTTAAATTACATGAGGCCTTGCTCTAGTTTTAGCACATGGAGCTGCCACAGCTGGAGTCTCTGGCACTGTCAATGGAGACCTGTTTTGGGGAATTAATTAAACTTTCCTCCCAGTGTCAGTGCTGTAGGAGTCAGGGGTGTTTTTCTCTCTCTATCCAAGTCAAACTCTCCAGCACATCCTACCGCTGCTTCATTTTCAGTACATTCCTTTTTTGTATTCCTGTCGTCCAGGAGGGAGCCAGATCAATTCAGGAAAAAGAGATGGGGTTTTCATAGTGCTAGAGAAATGTCTAGAAAAATAAGCCAAAAGCATATTTGGGACTCTGATTTGCAGTGCCCAAAACATCACAGCAATATCACAGTGTCCCGCTGAGTTGCAGGAACCTCTGAATCCCACTTGGAAATTTAAGACCTGGTTCTTCTTTTGCTCCAAGTTAAAGCAGAAATGGAGGTACCACATTGACCCCAGGTAATGGCACTGTGTGTGTGAACTTGGCACAGTGGTCACACTTTGTTTTGTGCCCTCTAGCATCAGAGCAAAATGTCCATGTGAGAAAAACCCATGTCATGCTTTATTCACTGCTCCTTAGGTCCATGGTAAAAATGTTTCAGCTGTTCTGTTATGGACCAAACATGAAGTTGCAGTGGGTTGCAGTGACTGAACATTGTCAGCATACAGCGAGTTCTCCTGCCTGGAATGGTTATTTCCAGCAGGAGGGCTGCTTGTGGCAAGTGATTTAGACAAGAATTGTCTCGCTCAAGGAACCCCTTAGGGCTTCAGGGTGCCAGTTGTCACTTTGAGGCATGGTGTGACAGGAGTCAATCCCAAAGCAAAGCTGGCAGATGTGTTTCTGCCTGCCTTTGTGGCTGGGGCCAGCAAACACGCACCAGAAGTGTCACAAGTGGCTCATCCCCACACCCTGCCCAGGGACAGGCCAGGGTCAGGCCCGGCTGTGCTCCGGAGGGGATATTGGAGCTGCAGCTCTGCAGGGCCCCAAGGGCCAGCACTGGCTCTCCGGGCTCCAGCGTGGCCAGAGCTCCTTCCCCACGGGGAGGAGAGTCCCTGCTCCTCACTAGGACAGCACAGATGTGACACAGCTCTCACCCTCCAGCCGTGACCACGCTCAGGGCTGGAGGGACACTCCACACCGTCCCTGCTGACAGCCATGAGCGCGGCTGCAGAACGGGAGCGACTGCTCAGGGGGACTTGGAGGAGCCAGCCAGTCCCTGCCATGCCAGGGACTCCCAGCAGCTGCAGGGGGGGTGGTGGGAGCGGCAGGACGTGCCAGGACACGAATGTGGCACTGACCCCTCGTCTGCAAGCCACTGCACCCCGAGGTTTCTGCAGGGAGGATCAGCTCCCGCTAGTGCCAGGTCCCACACGTGTGCGGCCCTGTGCCACTGCGTGCCTCGGGAGCTGGGAAATGACTGGAGGCACACACACCAGAGCATCTGTGGTGCTGCTGCCATTGTCTGAGGATACAGAGGGGAGCACAGACTGCAGGCAGGGACAAGATCTTTTATGACACCCACTGCCACAGATGGAACAAGTGATTGTGCCCCCATCACAACCAGACATGAGCCCTCTTTTGGGAAAATGGTTTAGACCTCCACATCCTTGAGCAGTTTAACTCTACAGTGGAGAGAAGTTGGACAGCAAAACTGCCTGAGCAAGGAGAGTATGTGTGCAGTTGAGCCAGTAATAGATCCTGTGGGAATCTGCTTCCAGCCTCGGGGAAACCCTTCCAGAGCACAGACTGCCAAGGCTGCTGGAACAGACCTCCCTCCCCGATGCTCCCTGATCCACGTCACCACAAGGAGATGCCCACAGGCCTCGCTCCGGTGCCTCCTCCCCAAAGGAGTCATCCAGAGTGCCAGGTGCTGCATCTGCCTGCCTGCCTGGTTTGCAGTCCTGCCCTTTGCTTGCCCCTCCATAAATCCAGAGAATGGAGGAAAAGAGAAAAATGCGAAAAGGTGACAAGGTCAAACATAAGTCTCTCAGAATTTCATTAATTGTACTTCCCTCCCTTCTGAGTCCAGAAAGCATTCTGCTTTTGAGCTGGATCATGCAGGGATACACGGGGGCTTTCAGAGATGTCCCACATAGAAATATACGTGTCACATGAACATACATAGGTATTGGGTGAATGGAAATTTGGATTCTGGAGAGTCCTTCCAGTCCATGTCTGCCTGAGGAGTTTGGTTCCTATGCGGAGGCACAAGAAGATGGATGCAAACAAATGAGTGATTAATTCTTTCCCCTCACCCTGACCTGCTTCTAGATGATGCTAAAGGGAAGTTTCATTTTTGCTGAACCTATGATCCTTTCACAAAACCTGACAGAAGCTCCCAGCTGGAATGAAGGCTATCAGGAGAACCCCCTCCCAAACGGGATCCCACTGGACTCACCAGATCCTTGGAGGTGCCAAGCCTTGTCAAGCCATCCAGGGGCAGCAGATCAGCAGAGTCCTTGTGCACGAACTGGGTGGCCTGTTTGAGGCGCCTCTTCTGTTGCAGAATAGCTTTGTTCCTCAGCTCCATCTCACACTCCTGTCGCTCCAGGTCGGGAGCGCCCTCGCTCTGCTTCTCCTCCTGGTCTCCTTGCCCCAGTGCCGGGGGGCAGCTCTTCCTTGTGCTCATGGGGAAGATTCAGACGGAACAGGTCCTTCTTGGTGTGCTGGGGTGTTCCCCGAACTCGTCTCCTGGTGTTTGCCCTCTGGAGGCTGACTCAGTCTCTGATCTCCTTTCCCTTTCTCTTCCTCACGGCTCTCCTTCTCTTCCTTTCTCTGCCTTTCCTCCTGCTCTCTCAGTTATAACTCACCCATCTCTGAAGTGTCTCGGTGCCTGCTTCTCCCTCTGTCCTCTCCACTCCTCCGTGTCCCTGTGCTCCCGCCTCTTCCCCTCCCTCACTTCTCCTGCCCTGACTGCAGCTTTGCCTCCTCCAGTCCGTGGGTCAGTGTCGTAATAGAAAAAGCCCCGCGTCAGAAACCGCTTTCCATAAATCACGGCAGAGCCGGCAGGATGCTCCGGCTGGAAAAATCCAGCAGCAGAAGGATGGCCCCGCTGGATGCTGGGGGCTGGACTTACCTCGGCGGGCTGCGCGCACGCACGGCGCGTCTCCGTGTCCGTGTCCGTGTGTGTGTCCGTATCTGTGTCCGTGTGCGTGTCCGTGTGTGCGTGTCCGTGTGTGTGTCCGTATCCGTGTCCGTGTGTGTGTCCGTGTGCGTGTCCGTGTGTGCGTGTCCGTGTGTGTGTCCGTATCCGTGTCCGTGTGTCCGTGTCCGTGTCCGTGTGCGTGCCCGCCTGTCCCCGGCTCCCGGGGACACGCTACAGCAGCCGGCTGCAGCCTGCGCGCTCCGCTGCCTCTGCCCGGGGGATTTGATGCTTCCCCGTGTCTCTGTAAATCCTGGCAGCGGCTCGGGTCAGCCTGGAAGATGATGCAGTGCCTTGGTAAATGGGAGAGTATCCTCCTCAAGGCTGCTGGCAGGCATGCCCAGTCTCATTTCTGCAGGGAGTGCCGTGCCTTTGCAATGGGCTGCGCTGAAGGGTTGTTCTGTGCAGCTTGAATGAAATGCTGAAGGTCTGCTTTCTGCTTCCAGCCAAGGCAGGCTCTGTATTGTGCCCGACTCTGCCCTCATTTCCACCCCACTCTACCAAAGGCAATCCCCTCTGATGTTGCAGGAGCCTAAAATCACTGGCTTGTTGATACCAGCAGACTTGGCTCTCTGTTTATACCAAAAGAGTGCTGACACTGCTGCAGTGTGGGATGCCTGGACCAGAGCAGACATCCCTTCCCTCAGGGGAGACAGGACATGGTAGAGCTCTGGTTTTCAACTTTCTGTCTCCATATTGTCCTGCTTGAAACTATGAATTTTAACTTGAACTGATGCTGTCTCGTTTTGATCCCTTTTCTCTGGTTAATGCCCTGCCCTGCTAAGCACCAGCTCTGATATCAGGTGCAGGGGAGGAACCAAAACTTTACTCAGCTGTGAAGCTAAGGACGGCATTACATTTCCAGGAAAGCCAGCAAGGGGTGAAACAGCTTTCATGTGCATCACAGAAGGAATAGCAGCAACTGACTACAAAACTTACAGCAAAAGGACACTTTCTGTTGCTCCTTTTGTTTGTTTTCTATCTCAGTAGTATGGAACATTCCAGTATTACTGATACCAATTATTTCTGTGTTCTAGACTGTGTATAAAAAAGTGAGTATTAAATATTAAGAAGCAAATCCAATGCAAGGTATTACGGTTTCCACCAAATCACAGCACTAGATTTTTCAGGAGTAGGAGTGGAAATACATTCTAACTGCTTTATACTCCAAGGCCAAACTTCAATACCATAATGCAGGCAGAGTCTCCACAACAGCTCAGAGGTGTTTTGAGCTGTCCTTATCTATGAGTCAAATTAAGAAGCGAATTTAAGTAATGAATATTTCCAGGGAACCTGTGTTCCCACAGTCTTGTTTTCTTGCCTGTGGGTTGCTCTGATTCCTGATTTACACACACTCTTACCTCCTGTGGCTCCACTGAGTATCCTCTGAGTCTTGCCATGAGGCCCTTTAACCATCCATGTAAACCAGTACAGAATCATGCATCTCTACTCTCACACAGGGCCAGGAGGTGCTTCCCTCCTACTGACTGTGAATGCCTCAGCCACAACAAGACCAATGATGGTAGCAAGGGGCACTGCCAATTTTCTTAAGGCCTCAGAATGCACCCTAAGACTGTAAAGTGCTACAGAACATCCTAGGAGCAGATCACCTACAGTCCCTGCCTTGAAGTCTATGGGCAGAGTTACACAATTTCTGATGAGATCCCCTCCCACCCTGGATGTGTATGTGGGAATGAAGAGGAGGGAGCTCTCCTAGTTCCCAGTCCCAGCACCTCCTTGCAGCTAGCCACCCTTTATTAGTTTATTTTGCACAGCATTTTGGCAAAGCCTGATCAGAATTGGTTTCCCTTGCAGCTGGGCTGGAGCCATTGCTTGAGCAGCTCTGCTTTTGGGTCTCACCAGTTAGTCCTGGTCCCTAACTCATCAAGCATTTCTCTCTTCGTGCCTCAAAGGGGAGGAATCTTCAAGTCTTGTTTGAAGCTTTCTCTCTTCCTTCATCACTTCTGCTTCTACATTTAGGTCACTTAACTCTTTATATGCTGTGATGTGTTAGTTTCTAGATCTGGCAAAAAATCCCAGCATTTTTATGGGGGTGAAATCAGCTAAGGTACTACATTCTCCCATCAAAGACATGATAGGTTCTAGGTCACTGCTTATTTTCTATTCAGCTATTACTTTTTCCATCCTGTTCTTCTTAAACAGACCCCATTTACTAAGTAGGTTAGGTGATTTCTGGCTTTGTGGTTTTTAATTTTTTTTTTCAGAATGGACACTTCTATGGGTTTTCTAATAAGAAATCAGACCACAGTTCAGTAAATTTAAGGGGAATTTGCAGCAGTTATACCTTTCCCAGTCATCTTTTGCAGGCCCTGAAAAATAATGTATGACTCACCAGTAACCTGTATTAGAAAAATAAAACTGATTTTGATGCAAATATTCATACACAATCCCATACACACCAATAAACTATTTTCTGATGCAGTCACATCAAATAATCATAACCCATTATAGCTCGATATTCTGCACCCTTCATACAGAAATCTCTACAGGGTGTGTAAGAGTGCTATTTAGACAATAGAAGAAACACTCTGCCTCCACAGAATATAAGAGCCCTTCTCCCTGCTCCAGCTGCCAGCTTGGCCTTCCAGCTCAAGCACTTACAGGCCAGTGGGAGCTCTGGGGCAAAAGGTTCCAGGTTCTAAGCACTTTAGCTGTGTTCATGGGTGTTGGTCCCTGGACATGATCACCTCTGTGCCTGAGAAGCCCTGAGGAAATCAGTAGTAGTGCTCATACTTCTAAGGAAAGGCCCTGAAGAGCAGCATTTCCCAGAAGCCAGTTTGCCCAGCCAAGAATCAAGAGAGGAACAATGTACTCCTGTCAGCTACTCATCTGTTGGAAGAAATTCATTAATAGCACCTGAAGTAGTACAGGGGAGTTGAAGGAAGCAACTGGCAGATTAAAGAATGTGAGACAAAGGTTTTACTTTCCTCTGTCAGGAGCAGTAGAGAGTATCCCAGCTGTTTGAGAAGCTGCTCTGTTGAGGGCTTTCACTGGCTTGGCTTTAAATTTCACTGGCTGAGGTCCTTCTGCCCCAGATTTTCCCTGTATCTCACTTTACCTAGCCTAATAATTCCTGTTATAAATATTCTCCTGCTGCTTTCGCAACTTCTAATGGTTGCCTCTCTTTCTTAGAGATTTCTTTTCAGCTTTGAATTTATGTCTTTCAACAGTTTGGAAACTATTATTTTGTCCCTCTGAGATTTGACACAGTGCAGGTGGGAGGGTGGATTGTAGATGGAGAACTTCATATTTCTGTTGTGACAATCTGGGTGCTTACAGAGCTCAGCAATAGCTCCCACATAATGTAACCAGCACAGAGGTGGTTTTTACACTACACCAGTTTCCAGTGCACCATCTCAGTAGTAGTGTAAGGTTCACGTGGGTGTAAAAGTGACCCTGGGTATAGCAACTGTGTCAGAGCCAGGAGATTCCTTGTGGTGGATACTGCAGGGCAACAATGAGGCAACTTTCTGCTCATTCTCCTGCATTCTCACAGCCTGTGCAGTCTGTGCATGCACAGATGGTGCAGAGGAGGAATGAGAGGACAAACCTTACTCAGGCAAACCATGCATGCTTTTCTCTCCCTTCCATCTCTGAAAAAGATTCTTTGAAAAAGAAAAGGCTCCTCTGCCTTGAATTCCCTCCAGTTTGTCTATTTGTATAATAAAATACCTTTGTATTCTTGAAATAATAAGGAAAAGGTTGCAGTATTTATATCTGTGAGTATGTCTGGCAAGTTTCCTTGAGGTAAATGTCATCTCAGATGTACATAATGTTTAGGTCAGCTGCTGGACAGTAAAGTGTGTCCTGCCAGCAAGGTCAGTCAGAAAGTAGAATAGTTTGCTTAGTTAGGTAATTTAGGGTCAAGTCTCTGTAGTTGTCTGCCCTATGGGATAGATTTATGGTTGCACCATGGCAAACTTGGAATAATGTTGTCTAATATGAAATTCTTCTGCTGTATAAATATTTCTTGATCATTATAAATACAGTTATGAATATAATATCATTATAAATATAATTATTTGTGTCCTCTCTGTATTGATTTTCTTCTTTGGGTTAAACTGTGTTTAAAAAGGGCCTTTTCTGTTTGGTTGGAATTATCATTGCCACAGAACTGACAGCTGATTGTGCAGCAGGCAATACAAAATTTCCTCTTCCATTACACAGATCACACTGGAAGACTTTGCCTTTGCTTTCAGGAGGGGAAAGAATCTCCACTGGTGTGCATCTCCACTGATGCACATAGCAATGGCAACTGTCTTACCCATGCTAGAACTTCTCTGTGGTCAGCATGAGGCTTAAAGTAGAGAATAATTCCTGGTAGGAAGTTCCTTACCCATAAAAGTGTGCAAGAGCCTGAGATGAAGGATAGTTACTCATTTAATGTCGATAGCACAGTGTTTGGAAATGTGTAGTCTCAAAGGTGTCTCTCCTCTATGTGTCTCTCTGTAGTTGTTTCATTTTGCTGTCCCTCCACTTCCCACCCATACGGACAACAATATTTCCATTATCCACTTAGCTTGAGGCTAAGAATGCACTTAGCAGGCAATTTTTTCCAAGTCTCTACATAATGCCATAAAAATAATGATGAAAACTTTACACCATTAAGGCTCCTTCCAGCGGATGTCCCTAGAGCTGAATACTTGAGCAGTAAAAGCCAGCACAGTTAGAGTTGCCTGGTAAAGCTTAATTTGGTATGCATATGTGTGGGCTTATTACTAAAACCACCTACAGAGTCTTGGCAAGGTGCTTTGAGTGGCTGTTTATGGGCTTCTATAATAACTTTTTTTTTCCCATGTGAAACAGCAAGAAGAAAGAAAAAAGACAATGACCTGTTCACTTTTTGCCTGTGCTCAGCCAAACATAAAATCAGAGCAGATCTCATCTTGCTGAAAATGAAGTCCAGATATAGTCCTTGGAAGGTAACAATCTCTCTGATGGCTGTTTTTGCCCCAGTGTCAT